GAGGGACGAGGGCCACAGGAGGGACGAGGGCCACAGGAGGGACGAGGGCCACAGGAGGGACGGGCCACAGGAGGGACGGGCCACAGGACGGACGAGGGCCACAGGAGGGACGGGCCACAGGAGGGACGAGGCACAGGAGGGACGAGGCACAGGAGGGATGAGGCACAGGAGGGACGGGCCACAGGAGGGACGGGCCACAGGAGGGACGGGCCACAGGAGGGACAGGTTTCTCACTGACCCTCACAACAATCCCAAGAAGGGAAGGTGATGGTCACCATTTTATAGGTCAGTCAGCTCATTTTCTCACATTCTACGAGAAGTGACGTCCACGCCAGATTTCTGACCCGGCCTGACTACAGACCGCAGTGACCACCAAATTGCACGTAGTCACCTTCCCGTGTCTCGGTGACCTTTAGACACCTTCCCGTGTCTCGGTGACCTTTGTGCCCCCTGGTGCCTGACTTACCGGATGCTCAGTGAACACTGGTAAGTCCAGTCCTAAGGGCTGAGCCCAGAATCTGACCAGGGACTAAGGGCATGGCCCACGTCTTCCAGCTGTGGGGCTCCAGGATCAGAATTTGGACGCAGCCTGGCTCAGGGGCTTGCCTTGCCTCCGGCCTCAGCCTGGGGATGATGGAGTCCTTCAGCCTCTCCCTCCAGTCTCCAAGGCAGCGCACCACGCAGCTCCAGATACTCAGCGTTTTCTTTCAAAATCACCAGGTTAAAAAGAAGGAAAGAAAGAGGGACGTCACTAGGTCACTCTAGTGGGGACTCGGTGCCGAACGAAGGTGCGGCACAAAAGGAGGTGGAGGCTGGGAAGGGCCGCAGCTGGCTGCTGGCTGCTGTTGGGATCTTTTATCAGGATGTCCACGACTTTATAGACCAATGGGAGAGTTGACGGTCGTCTCTTAGATTCCATTTCCTGTTCTTTAACAGTGTTTTCTAGTTTCTGTCCTGTAGGTCCTATCACAGATCTTGCCACATTTTTCTCAGGTACTCCGTTGGTAAAGTTTCAGCTATGTTTTTTATGATTTACTGTTTTTTCTTCTACTGTATTTTTTGACTAGTAATTGTTCCTGAGAAAATCCATGATTAAATGACCACCTTGTCACATTTTGTTTTATACATCAGTTTGTTACTCATATAAATTATAATTACATGATTCATTTCTACATATTTCCTCGTACTCCAACCAGAACTGGATCTACCAGTTTTTAAAATTTTGCTCATCTCGTAGGTGGTGATTCTGAAATTCTGAACTCTGACCTTTTTTTTTTTTTTTTTTAATTTGCACCTCTCTGATCACTTTTAAGAGTGAAGAATTTTTCATGGTGTTCCTCATTTGTGTACTGCCCAGGCAGATTCTCTACCTTTTATTGCTTCTAATAGTTAAATCTCTTTTGTTTTTCAGATATAAGTTATGTCACATGTAAGAAAGAGTAAGTTTAGGGGCTAAGGTTGTGGCTCAGTGGCACAGCACTTGCCTAGCATGTGTGAGGCCCTGTGTTCAACTCTCAGCACTGCATATAAATAAAGGTACATCAACAACAAGAGAGAGAGAGAGAGAGAAATTTTAGCCAGGCACGGTGGTACATGCCTGTAATCCCTTTGATTCAGGAGGCTGAAGCAGGAGGATCCCAAATTCAAGGCCAGCCTCTGCAACTTAGTGAGACCCTGTCTCAAAATGAAATGTAAATAAAAGGGCTGAGGATGTGGCTCAGTGATTAAGCTCCCCTGGATCCAATCCCCAGTAGCAAAAAAATAAAAACAAAGAAATACTGATTTTGCCTCACGATTTCTAATATTTATACCCCTTACTTTACTGTCTGAATCCAGTGTCTAACATGTCCAGAACAATGTAAAATAGTAGAGAAAATAGGAAGCATCTTCACCTTGTTCCCAATATTAATAGAAATGATCCTATATTTTCCCATTAAATATAATGCTGGAATTTTATTATAGACATATATATATAATTTTAAATAGTATTCATCCATCACCATTTTACTCAGAGTTTTAATGGAATGTAAGATTTCATCAGAAGATAATGACTTTCTCTTTGATCTATTAGAATAGTAATTCTCATAGAGTTTCTAGTACTGAATCATCTAAATATTTCAAAAAGTGAATTCCATTCCACTTGTCATAACGCATCATGTCTTTTATATCCTGCGGTTCTGGTTTGTTAGCATTTTGTTAAGATTTTCACAATAATCAAGGTCGGTCTATAGGTGTTCTTTTATTTTTTATTTATTTTTTTGTAGACCTGTTTTTT